GAGGGGGATGGAGGCTGGATGCCGGCTCTGCTGCTCCGCCTGGGATGAGGCTGGTGAGGCACCCGGCCTCCATAACAGGTAGTTTCTTTTTCCATGCGAAGCCGGAGCTGGAAGAACAGGATCATTGTGGCAGCAGAGCGAGTGGCAAAAATAGTGGGAAGGAAAAAATCAGTAAAAGTCACCTTTTTCTGGCTATCGGGGTGGGTCGGAGTCGGAGATGAAGGTTCAAGTGTGCTGCCGGGAGTGCTGTGGAGCACTGCAGCTGGAAGGAGAAAAGACTCCCTAGAATAATGCYGTTTTCACTAGCAAGGTTTAATTGGCTTTTAAATAAGATTGAGCAGATGTAAGAAAAGAATGTAACAAACTGCAGCACAGGCTTTGCCTAACGCTGCTCTTCATTTGCCAATCTGTCATTTATAACCTTGCCATAAGACATTTTTAAATATTTATAGTGTGGTTGGTTAGTACATGGTGAAGTAATTTAATGCACTGCATCTTTACAGACAACATCAGTTTATTTTAAAAGCCTTTTCATTTTGTGCCTTTTTCTGTTTTTCGTATCTTAAGGGGCTGAAATATTTAAAGGAATAACTAGCAAGAGTAAGCAGGAGATGGAATAGGGCACATCCTGTGAGATCGTGGGAGGGAGAAGGAAAGATGGGGCAGGAGAGGGGTCTGTCTGGAGGTTTAGGAAAGGAGGATTGTGGCTCTGAGAGCTCAGGRAGCCTTTGGGGCACGGGATCCTATGGCATCTATTGGGCATAGCACCTTGGGGGAAACACATGGATGCTCCGAAGCCTCTGTGAAGGCCTTTCCCAGGATGAAGGCCTTTCCCAGRATAGACAGAGGTGGTTTAGGAGAGCGTCTCTATCGGGTCGAGAAAGGGGAATGTTCCCCTCTACACCACCCTGGTGAGGCCACATCTGGAGCCTGTGTCCAGTTCTGGGCTCCCCGGGACAAGAGGGATGTGGAGCTACTGGAGAGAGGATGATGAGGATGATCAGGGGCCTGGAACATCTGCTCTGTGAGCAGAGGCTGAGGGAGCCGGGCCTGTTCAGCCTGGAGAAGAGGAGGCTGAGGGGGGACCTGATCAGCGTGTATAAATACCTCAAGGGAGGCAGTGAGGAGGAGGGGGCGGCCTCTGTTCAGTGGTGGCCAGCGATAGGACTAGAGGAAACGGCCACAAGCTGAGGCACCAAAAGTTCCACAGGAACTTAAGGAAACATTTCTTGACAGTGAGAGTGACAGAGCCCTGGAACAGGCTGCCCAGGGAGGCTGTGGAGTCTCCCTCTYTGGAGATCTTCACAATCCCCTTGGACGCAGCCCTGTGCCCCGTGCTCTAGGTGACCCTGCACGTACAGGGAGGTTGGACTAGATATTCCCAGAGGTCCCTCCGAGCCTTAGGGGTTCTGTGGTTCCCGCTCTCCGTGTGACACCCCTGCAGTGTCTCTGGGGGCCTGGGCGCGCGCCCGCGGGCGCGCAGGGCAYGAGGCGGCGAAGGGGAAGGCGCGCGGGCTCCGGCGCCTCTGCCGCCCTCCCGGCCCACGTTGCTGCCCGCACGGGTCCGGCGGCGTCGCCAGGCCGGCAGCTTCGTGGAAGGGAGGAAATGGGAGCGCAACGGCGATTTTCTGGAGCAGCCRCTCGTTGGCATGAGCAAGGGAAAAATGTAGGCGCTCGCAGTGCAATAAATACATAGTTTCTGTGGAAAACCTCGGGATTGCCATGGAAAGAAGACTTATAAGCAGCAAAGCCTGCAGATTTTCTGCTCTCAGAACTTTCCTCTGTGCTCTGCTGAAGCCGATAGGCAATGTTACGAGTCAGCCCTTAGTTTCTGTGGCAGATGATTGCACAACGTGCTGGGCTGGAGCAGATGTACGCATTTGTGAGGGAACACGTGCGTTGGCAAAGGCAGACGTTCTTATCGTTTTGAAATGCTTGCGTAACTCATCCTTAATTATTGAGTGCATCTGGATGCACCTTTGGGGGGTTGTTTCGGTAAATAAGCGAGCTAAATCCGTCTGATCTGAGAAGCAGCAGCGAGTTTGGCCAGGCCGGTGCCAGTCTGCACGTCGGGGCGGGCGCGCGGCCAAGCTCGGGTGTCAGGTCGGGAAGTGGAGTGCTGTTGGAGCGGAGCAAGTGGAGTGGGTGCTTTTGGGCAGCCCTGTGCTGCCCTGCGTGGGTGCCGAGCGTTTTYAGCACCCATGGGCAGCACGGAGGCCCTCACGGGACTGGGCAGCAGGAGGGGCTTGTCCCCCAGCTCGGGCCCGCACTCACAGGAGGAGTAACCCCCCGCACTGGGGGTTACTTCCCAGCGCTGTCTTGAGCACGTGGCCCTTTTCCTAGCAAGGACCAGGCCTTCCTGATGGCTCTGGTGGAGTTTTGCCAGCCACGGCATGACTAAGGCTCTCCGGTTGGATCGGGCTCTCCGCTCTGCTGGGCCAGGTCCAGCAAGATGTGATTTACAATCCCAGGGCTCCGAGTAGTCCGAGTGAAGCGGTCGGAGCAGCAGGGGAAGGAGAGGTCAGGAAGTGAAGGAGCATCCGAAAGCTCCCCAYGGAATAGCAAAAGACAGTTCCCCTTGTCTCTGCTCACGCTGCCCATCTTTGGTAAAATAGAGACAGCTGAAGTAAACACGGATTAAAGCAAGTGCCAGGGGGCAATTTGGAGATAGTTGGGGGGTGATTCTGCCTTGGAGAGCACGGGGTAAGGCCTGAGGTGAACACACGGGCCTGCTCTGCCCTGCTGCCTGCCCAGGGAGCTGCTCTGCGCGGCGCCAGGGCCGCGCGAGCGCTGCGGAGCCCGGAGCCGCGAGCGGTGCCCTCCGCGCGGGGATGGCTCCGGCTCGGAGCAGCGCCGCTCGGGATGCGGCGCCGCTCGGGACGCGGCGCCGCTCTGGGCATTGCCGGCCCACCCGGCTGCTCGGCCCTTCCCGACAGGGCCCCCACGTGCGCCCATGGAGCGGTTCTTCCACTGTCGTTTCTTACTTTGTTGTCAAAAGGGGTTTTCTGGGATGCGGAATAGGGCCGTATAACCCCAGTCTGGTCCCTGCTCATTAAATGTGGTCCTGTGGGTGCAGAAGGGCACAACCMCCCCGCTGTAGGTTTTACCTGTAACCTGTTACGCGGTGCCTGTTTATTTCTCAAAGGACAAGGCCAGGTCCAGCCATGAGTCTGGGCTGGCCTGTTTTGCACAAATCTCTCTTTGCCTTAAGCTTTTGGAGGACCTCAGTTATGGGTGCAGCACAAGCTGCGTGTGGGCTGTGACTCCACAGGCTCATCCGTGTGGGCCCGGCCCTCCTTCCCATGGGCTGCCTGAGAAGCAGATCCACGTTGGCTTCTGCCAGCAAATAGGTGCTCTGAAAACAGCTTTATTGCTTCTGTTATCCCTCAGGAGCAGGTTATCCCTCAGGAGCGAGAAGGGCATCGGGAGGATACGTTGTGTGTATCTGGCACTTGTGTTAGAGCTCTCTTTTCCCATACCATTGGGAGGGAGGAGAAGCAGGTTTTCACATTCCCAGTCTCATGCTAGTTTAGCATGAAATCTGTAGCTTGGAGCCTTCAGCAGAAGGGTCAGGAGTTTGAATATGGAAAGGTTTAAAGGGACCAAGTAGAGAATTGTACTTTCCTCTTGCCACCAACAAGCTCATATTGCSCATTAAGTAGGAGAAAACATTCGTCAGCAAAAAGCCCCAAGCACCATTCACTAGTGCCCAGCCTTCTGGAAGGATCATTAACGTTTCTCTGAATGTGTATGAAAGTTTTGGAAATGGATAGGAGGAGGAAGAGGATGTAATTGCAGCCAAACAGGGCTCCGAGCCTGTTGTTGTGCCAGCCGCTCTGCCTGCTGCTAAAGGCAGTCCTCAGGGTGAGTAACGCTGCCGTCACCTTCATCTTGTGGTTGCAGTGGGTTGTCTGGGCCTAAATTCGGCCTGACCTGGTTGCTCACACGTCCTGCCTCACCTCTTCATCCGCGGGAACCATCCGTGCTCCGAATCCCCCTGACCTCCCTTGTCTCTTCCAGGAACCTGCGTGAAGTGCAGCAAAGGAGTGTACGGAGCCAGCCAGGCGTGCCAGGCCATGGGCAACCTCTACCACGACGGCTGCTTCACCTGCGGAGCCTGCAGTAAGTGGCCTCCGCAGCCGCGTTTCGGGCACAGAGCCCTGTGACACATCCTTGTGGATCGACGTTTTGTGTGTCTTGAAGAAGGAAAAGAGAAAAAAGGATGTGGTTATTCACTTATCTGGCAGATGGAGTTTGTTTCAGCTGGGTCCCTTTGTGGTGGTGTTCRCTGTTTGCTTTTTGAATAGACTCTTGCAAAGCATTTAGGAAAGATATTTTGGATTCTGCCTGCCTTCAGCTTTCTGGTATGAGAGACAGCTAGTTTCATTCTTTTGTGTCTCGGTGTAGCCACATCTCCTTATTTATGAGAGTATTTTTTTTTAAGCAGCAGTAAATGTGCTTTAACTGGCATCTAGTTTTTGCTATTTGGCCAGTTAGACTTGCAGTCTGTCGATCCAAAGGAGAGGCACCACCGTGAGCCCCTTCCTTGTTGGCATGGGCTTGCTGGAGGCGTGCGGCAGCGGCTCTGGAAGCAGGATGCACCTTTTGCTAAGGGCAGGCAGCTTTCCCCTCCCTTACATTGCTTCTGCCTCAGCTGAGTCGCTGTGGGGTGGCAGCCAGCTCAGCTAGTTTAACCCAAAAAGCTGCTGCCCGATTCCGTGTCTGAGCGTCCTGTCAGGGAGYGGTTCCTCTGCCTGTGCCAGACGTGGGTTTTGGGACGTGGCTCCTTCTCTGCAAAGGGTGCCTGGAGGGGCAGCTTGGGCCAAGAGCATGTGTTCTGGGTGGCCTGGGTGAGGCTGATCCTGCAGGAACACGGTGCTGGGTGCTGCTGGGCTCTGCTGGGTGCCCAGCGTGCAGGGCACATGCACAGCTCAGCATGAACACGCTGCTGCTGGGCGCTGCAGGGTGCCCAGCTCTCACCTGGGCTCTGYAACACGTGCTCCGGAGCAGCTGCCTGCAAAACGTGTTGGGTGCTGAAGTGGCTGACCTGCTGGGTGCCGGAAATGAGGGCCTGCTGAATGGGGAGAATAACTGTGATTTTACCCATAGATATTGCCACGTGTAACCTCCCTCTCACCTTGCTGCCCCGCAAATCTGCCAGCAAATAGGTGCTCTGAAAACAGCTTTATTGCTTCTGTTATCCCTCAGGAGCAGGTTATCCCTCAGGAGCGAGAAGGGCATCGGGAGGATACGTTGTGTGTATCTGTATCGTGTTTTTATTTCATTTTATTTTTACGAGGTGCCAATGCTTTGTGCTTCTGAGGGGCTTCCTGTCAGAGCACTTAGTGGCACACTAAGTTACCCGAGCCGCGTTGCACGCCTGCTGTGCAGAGAGGGCAACGGAGCCATGGGGAGAGGAGCAGTGCCTCCCGAATCCTTGCTTTCCACTGGGATTTGTGCCCATCCTCGGAGAAGGACAGCAGGATGAGCCCTGCAAGATCTGCCTGCAAAGCCTATGGAGCAGTGAGACGAGCCTGGCCGAGGCGCAGTGTGGAGCTCGCCCGTAGAGCCGGCTCCAGCACCTGGATTCTCCCCAGGAGGGAGAATTCCCCAAGGAGGCTGCGGTGGAGCGGGGTGAGCGCCCGCGCCTCCCGTTGCCGCTCCTGCCCAGGCCTCCAGCACAGAGGGCTCTGTGTCCAGCTCTGCCGACGCTGGAGCCGGCGCCGCGCTCTTGGAAATGGAGCTTTGTGTCAGGCAGCAGCAGCAAAAATAATAGTAATCGGTCTGTTTATTTGTAGTCATCAGTTTGGTTTTCTGAGATGAGCTTTCTCTTTCTGTGTTATATTTAACATTGTAAACTCGTCAGAGGACCGCAAGGGAACGTGTTTTATTTAGTGGGAACAAATATAGCAAGGTGCATGTGCTATTTAATGACAGCTGAACCTTGAACTCCGCTCGTTTCCCAGCTGCCCAACGAGGGCCCTCCCTCCCCTCATGTTTTCAGAAGGGCCTTTCCCTGTCATCTGCCTGAAGAGAGGAAAACTGAAAGAAAAAGGGTGTTTGCAAGTGAGGGCGATTTCCTAGAGGCCCCAGGTCAGCAGCTTGCCGCTCTGTCTCGCCCGAGTTAATTTGAGCTCTTTTCCCGCAGAGAGAATTTGTGGCTCCATCCCAGGGCTTTGCAGCAGGGACTTTTTACCCTTTGCGTTCAGGAAGCCTCCAAACTGCCCTTCCCACCAGCCTCCCGTTAGAACTAATTAAATGGCCGGTTCAAACTGTCTTAGGTTTCTACAATTACTACAGACGAGTTGTCTGCTGCGGGAGGACGGACAGAAATCTTATTTTTTTCTCAGTGCCCTTTAGTGTTGTGTTGGAAAACACACCCTAGCTGCTGTCAGAGAGGCAGCGGGAAGCAGGTTTCCAGGAAAGGCCCTGTTTGCAGGGAGAGGTGCCGCGGAGCCGGGCATGTCCTGCCCCAGGAGGGGCTCGGGGCCGGAGCCGGCCGCTCGGGCACGCGCGGTGCTGCTGCTGCGAGCGGGACCTGCTGACGTCCCGCGCGTGGAAAGGGCGACGTTTTATCCCCTTGCCCGGGCGTGGGTTTCGGTCGGGCCCTGCCGGGGCATTGGGGCTCCCCTTGGATGGCTCGTGCTGTGCCAAGGATACCTCCGAGGAGGTGTTTGCCCCTTTCCAGCCCCATCACTGGCAAGGGAACAAGAACGAGCAGGGCCCCCCGCTGCAGAGCGGGGAGGTGCAGCCACATCCGTGCTCTTGGTTACCTGCTGCCCAGACCAGCTGTGTAGCAGCATCTCCCGCCACTCGTTCCTGGTTGTAGTGGAGGGGGAAGGAGGCTCCACGCTGCTGACAGCAGGTGTTCCCGCTGTGTCTCGGCCCGTGCCAGAAGCGCCGTGTGGGCCTGTTCCAAGGTGATGCTCCCGGTTATTCCAGATAGGCCGGCTCCAACGCGCTGCCCACGGGGAACCCCCACGGTGGCTTTCTGACTAAACAGCCTGGGCCTCAGCTGCCCGGTGGGGCCTGGGGGGCACGAGCTGCCCTGCCCCGAGCTAGTGGAGGGCACGTGAGGAGAGTGGCTCTGCTCCTGCATGGATTGGGGCTACTTCTCTGTTAGGCTGTTAGGATGGGGAGTAGGATGTGGGCTATTTCTCTCCGTGAGGACGCGGGGCGCGATGCAGGGCCGCCCTTGGCACGGGAGCACCCGGCTCCCTGCAGCCCGTCCGGGATCCCTGCCCTGGTACCGCCGGGGGGAAGGGGAGAGGCCTCTGCCTGCCCCCAAAACAACCATTTGCCTGGATGGTGTCTGCCCCGCTGCAAGCCCATGCGGAGGCTCTGGGTCCGTCCGGAGAAGTGAGGAGTTACGGGCTGTGTTTTTACGGCCAGGAGCAGTTSGGCCTGGAGCCCGTCCAGCACAAACTAACTCTGAGAAGTCAAGGTKGCTCGGGATTTCAACCCGAAAATCTCTGTGCTGGTGGAACAAACACTGGMTATCTGCACTCCAATAAATAAAATATACAGAATTACCTATTAAGGTAAAGTGTATTGTCCTCCGGATATTTTTATCTGCTGTCTTGCCCTTGCCATTTTCGTAGGGATTTCTAATTTTGCTTGGGGTTGGATTTGTGTCCAAACATTGCTTTGCTTTCCCAGATACAGCGAGCAGAGGGGCTCTGCCAAGGCATGGGGAGAAGTGGTACCTCCCCGAGCTGAATACCCTCTGCTTTCTGATATACAAATGATTAGAGATAAGTCATAGACGAGAGCAATTTGTTGGGTAGGGTTACGGGTACGGCAGAGGTTTGAGCTGTCAGGAAAAAGCATTGGCTGTTCCCTCCGAGCCGCTGGTATGCGATGGGGAGAATTTGGCATAGAGGTCAGAGCAACAGATTTAGAATGATTACTCTGGCATAAATATCTCGTTTATCTTCTTGTTTGTTCCAAAGCAGACACACCAACAGGGTAGCTTTCTGTAGAGGACAAGAGGGGGGAAAAAGAAACTTTGGGCTGTTTATGCCCTTTTAGTAAAAATATCTGTCTTAAGGCTATGGAAATAAGTTGAAAAAGAACCTTAAAAAGCTTACAGCTTTTCTACAAACTCGAGGTATCTGCTGCTGCTTCCTTGGTTTTTTTGTTTGTTTGTTTGTTTTGGTTTTTTTTTTGGTTTCATTTGTTTTGCTTTTCTTTGCAGTTGCTGGACAAACATTTTTAGTTAACAAGTCGCTTGTTACACATTAACCTTTTAGGTTGCTGTGAGATCCCAAGTACTCCCGTTTATCTGAAAAGCAATCAGAGCTCGCTTAGTTTATGACATGTCCTCAGAACATGCAGGAAGAAACACCCCCCAAACCCACGTGGCTATTTCCAGATATTGGTATTTATTATTTCACTAGGAAGGAGACGTTATAAATCATAAATAYATACGTAACCCCGTATTGTTTCAGTGTTTTTCTGTAGGGCTCAGCTAAGCCGGTGCCTGACTGCTGCAGGTGGTCTGGGGAAGAGCCCGTCTCAGCTCCATGGCCGCTGCTCTTCCGAGGAGGCCGCTCTTGTAGTCGAGCCCCGTGGTCCTTGCGGGAAATCTGGAAGCCAAGAAGGTGCAAGGGAAGCCTCGGGGATGACAGTGAAGGGAATTAATAGGCAAGGAAGGAAGTCGAAGAGAAAGAGCCGATGGCAGCGTGGTGTGGGGGAGGCTCAGGTGTCAAACCGGAGCAGGAAAGCTGGGACAAGGAGCGGATTTTGACCCCGTGTGCCGAGGAAGGGGAATCCTGCGTGTTTGCCACATTGCAGAATGCGACCTTTGGCATATCCACATTGCCTTTTTTTTCTTTTTCTTTCCCCTAAAGCCCAGCTTAGTGTTGATGTCTGTGTAAGAGTAACAGGCTGCAGTGCCAGCGATGCGCTTGACACAGCAGAGCTGGTGCGTTCTGCCTCTCCGAAGGATTTGGCTCTGTTTTGTCACACGAGGTAGCGGTGCTGAGAGGTGACCAGTGCCCTTCAGCAGCCCAGGCCCAAGTCCAGGTAAGGGTGAGCGCAGCGCCCTGGCCGCGGCGCCTGCAAAGCAGGGCTGCCCACAGCCAGGCAGCTTTGGGTGTCTCTGCGCCCACCACRTTGTATAAACACGCCCCGCATTGGGATGTAACTCATAGGAAAACAAGAGCTCGCTCCTGGCTGCTGAACTGCCCCACAGGCTGCRGCACTTTGGGGAAGGTGCAGCTCAGCTCCAGGCAGAAGGGCAGGCACCCTGGCCCAGTAAAGGGCCCCTCAGCAACCTGTTAGGCACGGGCGCCTGTGCTGTTTCCTTCAGATGCCAGAACCCAGCAGCTACTTCAGCAGGGGTACAATTTATTTCTTGTAATTGGCTCGTGCGAATGCTCAGTACGAAACCACTGTGTTGATCTGCATGTGTGAGAAATGAACAGATGTTCCAAGGGAGCAGTGCTGAGTATGAGCTAGCAGCCACCCTGCAGCATACCTTTAATAAAATTAACACGCAAAAGCCCTTGTGCGAAAGATTTTATTAAAGAATTTCCCGCCAGAGCCATCCCAGTAAATACTCAGGCACACCGGGTACCGCGGGCAGTTTGGAGACAGCGGAAGCATCTGTGGATGTTTCAGCTCCCACCTAAATCGCTGCCTTGTTCTCCCTGGCTTCTTGCCTTTGGCCGCCCAGCTCGCGGCGGGGAAATCTCCACGTTTTGCCACAGGAAGCAGTGGCTTCACATGGAAAACAGCAGGGCTGTCGTGGGAGGACAACACGACACGTTCCTGCTGCGGCCAGCGCAGGGGGAGAGYGGCTGGAGGCGGCCTGGGTCTCAGGTGAGGGAGCCCTCGGTGGCTATCCCTGCTGGAGAGGCGCAGCCGGCAGGGAGCAGAGGCACTCGGCTCCTCGGGATGTGCCCCGTGTCCGGTGTCGGGGTGGTGAGTTACAGTCGTGGGTGTCTTTGTACTGGGTGAGAACAGGGACAAAATGGGAACAAAAGTTGAAAGCCGGAGGGGATATATATTTTATACATATTATTTATATATATATATATACAAACACATATACATATATATATATATCTCCAGCCTTTCTAGTCAGTTTGGTTTTTAATGCAACCTTCTGATTGCTGCTTTTGGTTAAGAGCAGGCCTGAGATTACTTCTGCTGTGAGAACTGTGCGGATTTGCCAGCAAAGTTTTGGGCAGTGTCCGTGGGTAGTTTTCTAGGGACTCACTTGAGGCACTGAAGCTTTCCRCAGCTGGAGGGCCGGGGCGGTCAGGGAGATGGTGGCATCGGGGTGACTTTCTCCATCCTCGGAGCAGTCTCAGCTTGTGCTCCGGATTGGGAGACGCAGGAAAACAGAGCCTCCCTCCYGGGAGCAGCATGGAGGGAGACAGAGCGCGGGCTCCATCGAGGTGTTTCCGCAGGGCTCCCGCACTGCAGCCCGAGTTTATCTCGTCCCTCGGTATCGAAGCTCCCAGCGTGTTGGGGAGCAGTTCCCTCAAAAGCAAAGGCACGGAGACAAAGCGGGAGTGCTCGGTGACGCTTCAGGGCACGGGGAGATGCTGCTCGGCGGCGCCGAGGCCGCACRGCGCTCCCTTCTTCGTGCACCAGCCTGCTCTGCTGCTCCGCAGGGCCCGCAGTGCAGCCAGGGCTTCCCTGGGGCCTCGGCCCCTTCTCCCAGCTTTGTTTTTGTCACCTCTGCTGGTCTGGGGGGCTCGGAGGCCCCTTTGCAATCACACAATACAGCTGCTGTAGTGGAGCGATTCACATGCTAATGGAGCTGCTGTGTCCTAGAGCAGCCGCTTTTAAGAGAGATCCCGTCCTCCTGCCCTTGCTTCACCAAGACTCAGATCCAGACTAGCATGCCTATTAACCATAAAGTGAATATAGGTGATCTGGAGTGTATTCAGGCACCCGAGGGACTCCTTCCTGCAGCGCCACATTAACAGCAGACTGGAAATATTAACACTCCTGTGCCAGATTCTCTCCTGTGTCCGGCTTCAACAAGCAGCCGGCGGGGCCTGGCGAAGCCTGCTGAGCACGGGGCAGCAGCGGGGTCTGCACAGGGGCTGGGGCTGAGGTTTCGGGGCCTGCAGGTGCCTGCTGTGGAGCCTAGGGGCTGCGAATGAACCTGGACCTGAACCTTCTCATGGCCTTGCAAGGGGGAGCGGGAAACACGGGAAGGGACAGCAGGCTGAGCTGGAGTCCTCCCCGATTCAGGAGGAGCTTTGTTTGATCCTTGGTGCCTTGGGTGTTGCTTCCAGCCTGCTGTCCCCTGGCCGTGTCAGGAGATGATACTCACCTACTCCAGAAACTTAAGAAACACCTGGGTTTTAGAATCTCTCCTTAGAAATGGCACGTGCAGGTTCATCTCCCAACCCCGTCCTGCCTGCAACCAGTACTGGGAGAGCAACTTCCAAAGCGGCGCCTCGGCCCGGCTCCCGGCATCCGAGCTGCCGACACCCGCGCCGCACCGCTGCGAGTGCCTAGGGAGCCTCTCCCGGTATAAACTCCCAAAGGACAGGGCTGTCGTTGGAGGAGATGGTGGCGGGAAGGGCCTTGGCATGGTGGGAGTGCAGCCCGGTCAGCAGCGAGGCAGCGCCTGGCTGGTCAGCACCAAGGCACTGGGACCCAGCTGGGAATGCTCTGGAATTGGTGCCTGGAGGAGCTCGAGGTCACCTGGAAGGTGCAGCCGCTCCATGGGTTAGACGGACATAGCGAGGATGAGCTGTGCGTAAAAGCAGGAGGATCTAACCTCCCGTCAGGGAAGGGAATGGGAAATCCCCTAACAACGTGTGAAGAGGATAGGGTTGAAATACTGAAGAATTTTAATTGTCTGAAGTTTTACAGATGAAAGATTAGCTAAATTCAGGGTGAAGGGACAGGAAAATACGTCCAGGAGCCAGCTTTTCAAACAGGTGTTAGAGCAMTAGCTCGGGGAAGCAGCAAGGCAAGCGTTAACATGCCCAGGCTCATGCAGGGGTGGGTGTCATCTCTGCTTGCGGGCGCCCCTGCCCGCCTTGGTCCCAGCTCCCCCGAGCTCACGGGGCTTTTCCRCAGTGCCCCTGGGTTACTGCTTTTCCTGATGAGTTTTCCTATTGGTTTCCGCCAGATACTTCAAGAGAAGAAAGTCATGGAGAAGCGTGGAGCTAAAAATAGCCCCGATGGCCACCTGTTCCCCAAATAAAGTAATGGAATCATTCCCCGCTTCCCTCCTCCAAGGGCCCTTCGCGTTCGCGCCTCTTCCTCCCGTGCAGAGCGGTGGCCTGCCCTGTCACCCGGGCGTTTTGGGTGGCTTCGGAGCCCAGTGCTGTGTGTAAAGCAGCACCCCGTGCTGCCCGGGCAGCCCCTCGCTGCGCCCTCCCCGCCGGCGCGGCGGTGCCGCTCATCCCRCGCCGTGTCCGCAGGCGGCGGCGCTGTCCCATGGACACGCACCTCGGCATACCCGGACACAAAGCGAGCGAGCCCCAGGTTGGATGGTTTTATTTTGGTGCCTCGTTGGTGTCGCAGGCCTTGGTGTCAGCGTGAGATGAATGGGGGCAGGGTGTTGCAGCGTCCCCGGGGGAGCAGACGCTGGTGTGCCCGGGCACAGCGCAAGCCTTTGAGGCAAGGGCAGCCCAGCCACGGTCACTGCCTGCGTTTGGGTGCTCTCCCACCTCGGAGCCGTCGCACACTTGCAGCGAGCGCCTCTTTCCAGCCGGAGAGTGCCCTCTGGTGCACACAGGGGCTGGGAAAGACTCAGTTATCGACGTGGCTTCGCTCACCTTCCTCCTTTTCTTGGTCCTTTGCAGCCAGCGCGGTTATTCCGTGAAGAAAACCATGCGGATAGATGCTGTAAGGCACCCCGAGGGGGCTCCAGACCGGTCCCTGGTGTCTTGCCTGTCTATAAACCAACTGCTGAGAAATSTTTTAGCAGTATTTACCCCCTGCAGCGTGCCGGGTGTCCGGGGTCAGGCCTGCTGGCCAGGGTCCCACTGCACGTCCCCAGGCTGCGCCCGCGCTGCAGTTTTGTCTCTTGCCCCTGGCACAGCCCAGGACAGTCGGTAGTTTCAAAACCTACTTTAGGCAGGTGAGTTTAGTAGGGGAAAGAGGCTGTGAAACAGCGGAAGCAGCTGTTTCTAGACTGTCCCCTTTTCTAGAAGGGTGCTAGAGGAGGCTCGCTGGGGGCTGGGGAGCCCTGTGCTCCACGTGGGAGCTGGGTCTTCCGGCTCCGGTGTCGGATGTCCTTGTCGTGGGTCAGCCCGTTACTTGAGATGCTGCTCTGCTGTGTGTGCTTAGTGCTCCGTGCCCAAAGGCGTCTCCAGCAGCCAGGTTCTGCTCCTGCTTTCATCCCTGCTCCCGACTGACCTTTCTCTTCTGCCTTTTTGTTTCTCCTTAGGTCGGAAGCTGAGAGGAAAAGCCTTTTATTTTGTCAACGGAAAGGTGTTCTGTGAGGAAGATTTCCTGGTGAGCGCAGAGATGGTCCCCGTGCCGCTGGCTGCAGCGCTCCCGCGGGGCCGGCGCGTCCCGTGCTGTGCCTGTGGCTCTTGCACGTGCTTGTTGTACAGTTCCCTGGCCCTGCACASCCTCTGTTAACCCACGTGCCAGACTCGGCAGGTTGGCTGGGTCAGTGGCCTGGTGGCTACTGTGTGTGTGGTAGTGGAAGTAGCAGAGAGAGAACCCTTGGCTCTGCGTTACTTGAAGTTGTAGCCACTTGTGATGGCTTCTTCAAAAGGGATCTTGGTAGAAATGCCATGGAGGTAAGAGCAAGATAAATGGCTCGAGGGAACTTTTCTTYCCTATTAACTCTCCTTGCTTGGGCACCTTCATGGGTGTCTTCCCATTGCCCTCAGGGGCTTGTGAACAAGGAGCAGCCCTACAATCCTCTCCTTGGCTGGTGGAGAAACTCCTGACTGCCCTGACCCCACAGAAAGGCAACAACCTCTATAGCCCCCACGGACTAAGACAAAGTCTTACAGACTGAGACACCACTGAGATTTGAGCAGTTCTATTTGCCACTTACTGAGGAGGTCTAGCAGTGTCAAAGTCAGTTATCCTCTTCTTTTCTTGCCAGCATATTCTGCACAGGCTGAAAGTAGAAACATCTAATTCAAATGTGTTTAAGATATTTCATTTTTTCGAGTTTGCGTTCACACTGTTCAGACAGGATTTGAAACATTTTGTGTTTCAAATGTGTGTTCCTGTGGGGATAGGTTTTGTGTTGTGTCCAAGGGTGCAACACTGCATGCAGGGCAATCAGGTCCTTACCACTAGATCTTAGCAATAGCAGCTGAAAGGTGATCAAGGTCCAACTGGAAAAGAGTTGGGACAACATTCCAGTCTCATACACGTTTCAGTAGACCTGTAACAGAGCAGCCCAAGGCAGAATTCGGTTTTTGAAGCATATATACATATATATATACAAGTGTTGTGATGGAAGTRTGTGATAAACACATGTAAATTCATGGCTTGTAGATTCACATGGTCAAATAAACATGCAAGTCTTATTAGTAAATGCTTTATTTGCATGTGCATTCATGGTGTTATATAATTGGTTGTTCTTCATTTTAGAACTTGAAAGTTTAAAGAACTAACAATTCTGTATATAATATATCTGCTATCTTTATTGAATATCCTCTGGGGGTGCCCCATCTATGTCTTCATATGCTGACAAAGTGATAGGAGATACAGTTTGCAAAGGGAGCAGA